CAGTTATCAATCATTTACTGTTTTAATATAAAATTTAATTATTAATAATTTAAATTTTGCGTTTAAAAATGTTTACAAAAATTTGAAATATAAAAATAAACTTTTGTTATAATGAAACAAAAATTTCCAATAAAGTGCTTATTGTAAATTAGGAGCACACATTGGACGGTGAAACAATTTCTTTATAGAAAGGTTGTGTCTTGGACACATTAAAATAAAATTTTAAATTGTAAATCACACAAACATTCATAATTTAAAAAAAATAAATTTATATTTAATTTAATTAGTCTTTGTTCTGTTCTTAATACAAATGTTTAAAGAAGCTTGAAAATAGAACAGGCAAAAACTTCTAATAAAATGCTTATAATAAATTATAGGATTATTTGATAATACGTTTTTTTTTTACAGAAAAGAAACCACTTATACCCATGTTACTAAAATGATAACTTTAATTATAAATCTTGCAAATGTATTCGCTCCATTATTTCCTCAAGCTTTTTTAAACATATAAATTGAGAATCGAATAAAATTTTTTGCAACAAACTTGAAAAAAAAATAGTTCGAATTTAAGTCTCGTAAAAGCTTGCAAGATTTACAATTAGTATCATCGATGCAAGTGTTTTATTGGGCACATTTTCAATAAAACGTATCGAGTAAAATGCTTTTTTAAGTTAATTAATTAATTATTGTCAATATTTATTATTTATTAATATTTTATTACTAAAACTTAATTTTTACACAAGTTATAAAATAAAAAAGGTAAATAATTTTAGACAATAAGAGAAAATATATGAAAATTAAAGAAATAATTTTTGTGGTACTTATAATGTGATATTAATGATAAGTACGGGTGTTCTTAATCCCTTAAATTTCTGTTGATAAAGTACAATAAAATATTAAGTGTTGTAGGAACATCGTAATTTTCGAGATAAGTGTGATTAATGATATCGTATAACAGACTCTAACAACTTATGATAAATGTGATAGCAGTACTTTTAAATTTACAATATAATTTTTAAAAATATTTTGAAAAACAAATAAAAATTTAAAATGAATTCAAATTATATTTTAAATAAAATGTAACTTGATATTTATGAATATTTAAATTGTTTTCAGCTTCTTTAATTAATCAGAAATATTAATAGGTAAAGTTAATTTTCAACTATATTATATTATTGTAATATATTATATTAATTAATAAATTGACGGTGATAATTAGAGCATTTATTATCTCCATTATTTGAGTTAAACACAATAATGTTAAGAAAAATTGAATAATTACAATAACTAATTAGCATGTAAAAGTTAAATAACCTACTTATAGACCGAAGAATCGTTTTAAAACTTTTTTAAATAGGATATTTATAATTGTTTCATTATTTTCAAACTCATTATCATAACAATAATGTTAATTTACCTTGTAAAACTTGAACGAATGTTCTTAAAGAAGGAAATTTCCATGGCAGTAGATGTTTTTGTATTTATCACGGTGTGTTATTTGCATCTCTCTTCGTTGCATCTTCGAGGAAAACATTCAATATTGTTAATTTTCCAAATCTAATCTTGGAACAGACGGAAGGAAATTGTTTCGGTCTTGATTCTGTGCACCATTGCAGATGTAATCGAAAGGAATTGAACTGTTTCCTATCTATTCAAAAATTACCTACAGTCTACAATAATATTAAACATATTAACAATTTAGATAATTTTACGAATTATTAATGGTCCTGCTTTTTTTATATTTTTTCAATTTCAAAATTATGTGTTCAGTTCAGAGAAAGAAAAAAAAAATTCTATAAGGTCATGTAACGAAATTTTTATACTAATTTAATCATTAACGCCCTTATTTTTCATTAATATTAATGAATCCACGAAAGTTGATATTATCATCGAAATTTCTAAATTTAATTCCGTCGAATTTTAATTATTTAAATTCTTCATTGTTTAAATAATAAAATTTATTACTTATTAATTTACTGTTTTTTACGATATCCAAAATATTAGAAATTCTATCTTAACCGGAATTTGTATTTTGATTACATGTTTTATTCTTTGAATAGACTTTATGCTTTGGCGATTTCAAGTTTTTCTTACCTCTATTACATGCATCAACAAATTCGTATTTTTTTTCCATACAATCAAAAACTTTTTTAAATTTCGTATTATGTCCATGAAGCTCACTTTTTACGAATTTCGGCATTATTTTTTATTTCTAATGCTGTTTTAAATAAAAGTTTCCTATAAGAAATAAACATGATTCGTGGTTTACAATAAGCCTGTGAAAAATAAACCTATGCAAGGTTACATAGCCATTAATAGTGACATAGTGAAATTTTTTCAGGCATTTTTCGAAGATTTATTCATTTCTTTTTGCTATTTCCGTTAACCTAATTACATAAATTGTTCTGTTGACATTCTTTAATCAATTTTTATACTTTTAAAATAATAAACGTCGACCCCTTTGTTCCTATAACCATTTTTCACAATTCGTTTACAAGAAATTATACGATCCAGTTCCGAAGTTATTATTAAACGTAACAATGCCATCGTTACGTGATCTATACGAGTACCATTCTTATTGATTGCATAGAATTTACTCAAACGGTTATGCTCATTGAATAACTTTAATGCTATAAAATCAACGATACTTAATTGAAGAAGTAGAATGAACTATATTCTATAGAAAATTATATTTTGAGAAGGGTATAAGAGATCATTTATATTATTGACATTTTTCAATTGAGATCATATCAAAGAAGATCCGAACAAAGTCGATCTATTTAAATATTTCCGATTCAGTTGTTCAGAAAACCGAACAATACGTGTTAACCTTATTAGGAGGTATCGATAACAAGATATTAATAGAATAAAAAAAAAAAAAAAGAATTGATGCAAGATCAATGAGGACGTGACACCTCATGGTATTGGTATTTATCTTGATAAGCTACTCAATCATACAAACGTGTTTTGTCATTTGCCAAATCAAGTCATCGTCCTACGTAGTAGTGTTTAAATCCAGTATATAATTAGGTCGTGCTAATAAACGTTATGAGAATCTGTAATATAGACCCCCCGAAAGTAATTATAATACAAAATTGAAAGTAGGTTCGATTTCCTGCGAATATGTTCCAGTTTTCCTGATATAAAACTATATTGTTCCGCTATGTCATACGTACAATTTTCCTTCGTTAAACAATTTTACAGGTTTCGTACTGTATTTTCCTGTGATAAAAACGGAATTTTTAAAAAATTAATAAATTGACGGTGATAATTAGAGCATTTATTATCTCCATTATTTGAGTTAAACACAATAATGTTAAGAAAAATTGAATAATTACAATAACTAATTAGCATGTAAAAGTTAAATAACCTACTTATAGACCGAAGAATCGTTTTAAAACTTTTTTAAATAGGATATTTATAATTGTTTCATTATTTTCAAACTCATTATCATAACAATAATGTTAATTTACCTTGTAAAACTTGAACGAATGTTCTTAAAGAAGGAAATTTCCATGGCAGTAGATGTTTTTGTATTTATCACGGTGTGTTATTTGCATCTCTCTTCGTTGCATCTTCGAGGAAAACATTCAATATTGTTAATTTTCCAAATCTAATCTTGGAACAGACGGAAGGAAATTGTTTCGGTCTTGATTCTGTGCACCATTGCAGATGTAATCGAAAGGAATTGAACTGTTTCCTATCTATTCAAAAATTACCTACAGTCTACAATAATATTAAACATATTAACAATTTAGATAATTTTACGAATTATTAATGGTCCTGCTTTTTTTATATTTTTTCAATTTCAAAATTATGTGTTCAGTTCAGAGAAAGAAAAAAAAAATTCTATAAGGTCATGTAACGAAATTTTTATACTAATTTAATCATTAACGCCCTTATTTTTCATTAATATTAATGAATCCACGAAAGTTGATATTATCATCGAAATTTCTAAATTTAATTCCGTCGAATTTTAATTATTTAAATTCTTCATTGTTTAAATAATAAAATTTATTACTTATTAATTTACTGTTTTTTACGATATCCAAAATATTAGAAATTCTATCTTAACCGGAATTTGTATTTTGATTACATGTTTTATTCTTTGAATAGACTTTATGCTTTGGCGATTTCAAGTTTTTCTTACCTCTATTACATGCATCAACAAATTCGTATTTTTTTTCCATACAATCAAAAACTTTTTTAAATTTCGTATTATGTCCATGAAGCTCACTTTTTACGAATTTCGGCATTATTTTTTATTTCTAATGCTGTTTTAAATAAAAGTTTCCTATAAGAAATAAACATGATTCGTGGTTTACAATAAGCCTGTGAAAAATAAACCTATGCAAGGTTACATAGCCATTAATAGTGACATAGTGAAATTTTTTCAGGCATTTTTCGAAGATTTATTCATTTCTTTTTGCTATTTCCGTTAACCTAATTACATAAATTGTTCTGTTGACATTCTTTAATCAATTTTTATACTTTTAAAATAATAAACGTCGACCCCTTTGTTCCTATAACCATTTTTCACAATTCGTTTACAAGAAATTATACGATCCAGTTCCGAAGTTATTATTAAACGTAACAATGCCATCGTTACGTGATCTATACGAGTACCATTCTTATTGATTGCATAGAATTTACTCAAACGGTTATGCTCATTGAATAACTTTAATGCTATAAAATCAACGATACTTAATTGAAGAAGTAGAATGAACTATATTCTATAGAAAATTATATTTTGAGAAGGGTATAAGAGATCATTTATATTATTGACATTTTTCAATTGAGATCATATCAAAGNTAACAAAAGGACATTTCGGAGATGAGAATTTTCATATTAAAATTTACAACTAAAAATTCAATTATAGAATATACGGTGAAGCAATTCAATTTTATCCAACATTAAAAAGAGGGGGAAAAAGCTGGTTCATTATGTCAGCTTGAATTATCAACAAAACTCATTTACTGTTGATCTTCTGTTTTTGCAGGATGTATAATATCCATTGATGGTGTCACATGATATTTCATCGTCCGGCACTGACCAATAGCCTCACCTGTGCTGTTTAAAACCGGTCTGAAGTCTTTGCTCGCCGCAACAGGTGATGGTTGGTGGAACAGCCAGACACGCCTGACCCCCCTCAGCTACGTCATACTTCTGCACGCTTCATTCACACAGGATCCAGAGGAGAACACCAGTAACTCCTGGAGTCCCTCCATTCACACACCTGTCCACATTGGAAGCTAACCCACCTGTACACGTGGTCAACCAGCATGGTGGTCGTTACGTTTATGTATTTACTACTCTTTACAAACTATGTTCAACAAGGTAAGTAAATTTCAAACAACTTTCTTAGAAATTATGACGTAAACAAGACACGGCGTGGGTTCTCCTACGACCTGTTGAATCATGCCGGTACTTTGTTTAAATGGACTGTCATATGTCGCGTTTGCCGTATGTTTTAACGAAGTTTTCGTTTAATATTTAGTTTATCGTTTGATTGTAGATCTTATACGATGTTAAATTATAAATAGTTAAGAATTATAAATAGTTTAAGAACAATCGTCGAATGGGCTATTATAAAAAAACAAAACTCTTGTCTCTTTGTCACATAATGGATCCACAAATCAAGGAATTTTGCCACAAACGATTAAGTATTTTTTCTATCGTTATTTTAAGCACATTTTATGTTTAAATATGATAAGTTAATAAGTGGCTGCGAAAGTTGATCGCTGTATAGACTATTGCTTTTGATCACGAATGCCATAAAGTAATTGTGAAGTTTAATTTTTCGCTTCCCTTCTGGATCGTGGCCAGAATTACCAGGGAAAATCAATCTGTAAAACAAATGCAGTATGTCGTTCCTATGTACAAATCAGTATTTTTTTTTTCTTTTTTAAAATATTATCCATTGTAACAATCTGCTTAATAAATGATTCATTGTCGTAGATTTAATTGTATTATAAGGAGGAAAGTGTATGCAAATTTAAATGTGTTGAATAATTTTATTAAAAAAGTAGACTATAAAATAATGCAGATGAAAAATATTTTTATAAATAAGAGAAAAATTACTTAAATTATGAAATGTTTTNTTATCTCACTAAGAATAATTACTGAAGTAAGTCAGCACTTCTCAACCTCTATCGTATTGGATGCTTGTTGCATTATAAACGAATCACTTAGGAGTCCGAGAACTACTGATTGAGAAATCAAAAACTAAACGACGCATCCATAACTCAAAAGTATAAAAATTATATATTTTTCTCGGGGGAAAAAAATAAAAAGCTACGATTTATATTCAGACGCATTTCTTTTTATTTTCAATTTTTTTTTCCAAATTTATTCCAAAATGCACCTTCAAATTCCTTTGGGAGGTGATAATTCATACTCCAATGACTCTAAAGTTTTTGAAGTTTGCTTTCAACGCGAATATCATAAAAACATATCTAAATTTATATTCAAAAATCGTTCATTCTCTTCCAATAGATCAATATAAGATGTTTTGTTAATAAATTTATATAATTTAAGAGTTGGTTCTGATTGAACGACTTACTTCGAAGTTTTTAGAAGATAACCCCCTCCAAATTCAGTAGCGTTGAAAAATCCACTTCACTAACATTATATAAGGAGTATAAGACTTGAAAGGAAATCGAATGGTCTGATTATATGCTTTAAAATAATTCTATTTTTATTCGCTCTCATCCATCATTTTTTTTTTTTCCTCTCTTGTGGATCGAATCCGTAATCTGCGATCACTTTTCTATCGTTTTTTTGGAATATTCTATCGAAACTTATCAATGTTGGGTTATAAAAATCAAGATAAAGCTTTAATTTGCTCAAATCCAATAGAGAATCAGATGAAACTTTAAAAAAAAAGGACGTTTCGGGGTTACTTTCGGATTCTCTTCGAACAAATCCAGCTAAGCCACTTAACAATAATCCAATCGAAATGAAATTCCATTTAACAACTTGTAAAAATGATATTAAATTAATTAATTTCAGTATGAGTGATATTTTGCTTTAAAAAACAGGAATATTTGAGGATAGGTTTCGTGTCCTCGTTGAGGTAAACCCAACAAATCCAACTTGACCACTCAACAACGATCCAATTAGAAATAAATTGCAATTGCTTCATTCTAGCCAATGTATAAAAACAAACATTTGAACATCAATTTAGAGTCCTTCTCGTGGTAAGCCGTACAAACTCCAAATGGCCATTTAACAATAATCCAATTGGAATGAAATTCCAATTTAAAAAAACGGTATTTAGTGAATGAATTTCAATATTCCAAGAATTTTCTTCAAGAAAAATTACTTTAAAATAATGAAATTAATTATGAAAAATATTTTTATAAATAAGAGAAAAATTACTTAAATTATGAAATGTTTTAGATCATTATTAATTCTTAAAATAATGAAATTAATTATGACTTTTAAGTTAATGTCCTAACGTAGACTTACTTAAAAGTATATATAATAAGTGTAGAGACTACTTATACAAACGAAGACGATCCGCAACTTACAAAGTGACGCAATAGGTCATTTTTCTCAAGGACTGAGATCTTGCTTCTTATTTCTGAAATAAATGATTTAAAATGGCATTTATATGTGTTAATTTTGCTTCACTTTCTATATAAACAGTGAACTTTTGCGAATTACTTTCAACCAAGCATGTTGGAAATTTCCAGGTGGTCGAAAATCAGAACTGTGACTGCAACGCTCTTTGTTACATTCTATCATCCTGTTCGATTAACGTTCGTAATCATGTTCCGTGAAAACTGAAAGAATGGCTTTATTTATAAATTCACTGAATCGACAGTTTAATATGTATTTTATCTAACATTCGTGTTTTTTTTATAATCGTTCTGTTCCGAGTTGCATTATGCAACAAAATTGACATCACGTCATTTTCGAAAACATTTTATTTTCAAAAGTTTTTCTAAGATTTATACAAAACAGGATTTTAAATATCCGTGGGAGTTTCACTTGGATGATATTTCATTTGCTACAACAAACACCTTAAGTCACGGAAGCTAGGCAGACATTTGCGTGCTCCACCGTTCAACCTCACTGTCTCTAGAGGTTTCCTCTGAACTCAGTAAGATTTCTGAGCAGACTGGGAACCATACAATAACCCCCCGTCCTGTGGGGAATATTCTCTTTTTTTCAACCCCCACCACAGTCTTTAGTTGACCGTGGGAAAGAAAAGAAATTAGTCTGATCGACAAGATAATTCCGTGATTTCGGCTTACAGCACGGATCAAATCCCGAATTAAGTTATCAGATTTACTTTTTTGGAATAAGGAAAACTTTTCATCTTAAAACAAAATACAAAATTTTCTTACTTGATTTAATTTAGATGCTAGCATATTTTTGCAAGAGGAGATAAAAAGCTGCAGAAAAATAGTCGTAAACGCCCACCTCTACATGTGGATTTTTTTATTCTTTTCGCGTTTAAATATTTTTATTTTAAGGCAATCATTTGTTTTTATTTTACTGTAAATAGGTTTGCCACTTATTAAAAATGAACATGCATACAACCATCAATATTTAAGAATTAAAGAGAGAGATGTTAAGTGCTAAAAGTGGGTAATAAACGACATATATTTCCATTACTGTTAAACACCATTAAAATATCCTTTTCTGTTGTTGCAAAATAAATTTTAATGGAACTTTCCAACAATAGACAATCTGAGTAATGAATGAAGTTGGAACCTTAGCATCTTTTATTTGTTTGAAGACAATTACATTCGACAAAGAATTTTAAATTCCCATATGTTGCAATGTCGCTATGTTTTTACTAGCTAACGACATCCGTAGATTATTCTGCTGACGTCAGATTGTGTCGCGACCCTACCGGATGTGAGGAGGTCCCAGGTCACGTGATTGGTGAACCACGTCGTCTGCTATTGTCTCGTATGATGGTTCTTGTACGAAGCGCTCGGATTCAGATGGGCGAAGAAGTTTGATTATTACCAGAAACCATATAAAATTATACCAGACCTTATTGGAATTTTAACTTTCAGAACATCTTCGTTAGACATTTTTATAATAATTCAGCCATTGCACCTGTTTGCTTCTCACAGCAGGTGTCTGTAAAATCATCGAGTGGAAAAAGGTACGGATTGTTGCCTTCCATCTTCTCTCACCTTCTGTTTCCATGTCAAAGGTTGCCAATAATTTTCATTATTTAACTCAATTTACTGTATTTCGTCTACCGGAGCAAAACATTAATGCAGATATTTATTTATTCGTTTAAAAGTTTGGGAAATATTTCGACTATTTTCTGCAGATTCAAAAAATCGCCATTGTCAATTAACTCCACTCCTAAAAGTCGTTGTTCTTACCACCCCCAACAGTTTTGTAACTAGGGATGGGCTACATACCAAGCAAAGAACGAACAGGGCGGAGTAACCGCATGACTGCAGCATCTTAGTATTTATAAAGCTCTTAAATATTATAGCCATAAAGGTCTAGTTTCTGAAAGAACATGTTCATTCGTACAGAGAATAATATTAATAATTATGACATTTTTCAATACACAAGATGGCGAATATTCAATTATAAAGAAGCGAAAAAACTCGAGGCGGTACCCTGCAAATACTTTGCCTTCCTGGAGATCACAAGAGGTGCCCTCTTAGGTAAAATTCCTTTCTTTAATGACCCTTACATCCACAGCCGCTTTCCAGAGGCAAAAGAGCTGCCTCCTAATAGACGAAGTTAATAATAACAATAATAATATGTTTTAATCTATATTGTTATCAGCCTGTCATTTTGCTATTCGTTGGCGCTTAATTACGTATAAAATTATGTAAAAATCATAATTAATTCTGAATATTCCATCTGATATTTTTAAGAATATTTGATGGTTCACGAAATTTTGACAGGAGAAAAGGCCTTTCCTACTTCTCGTAAATAAAATCTGTTTATCTTTTAAAGGTTAATACTGAGTAGGGCTTCGTTTAATAGAATCCGAGGAAGTTTGGCCCACCTTTCTTCATCACCTGGGGGTAACTATGCAACGGTTGCTTAGCTACTGACCACCTGGCGTGTGCAGACGTCGACAGATGTCCATGCGTTTTCATTGTCTTCTGTTGACTAGAATGTTTTGTGCGAACAAAAAGCCGTAAAAGATTCTGCTCTCAGGTCCTTCTCTGTAGAACTACCAACATCTGCATTTGAGCTATTGCGTGCTTCAATGTAAAAAATCTGCCACGTGGGGACACGTGGCCAGTCATCCTAAACCTGTTCTGAAAGAGAAAAAAAAGACAATAAATGAAAATGTTTCCATTCATATTTACAGACTTTGGGATTATTGCACTCGAATTCCTTTAATGATAATTGATGGCATTATGTATCTAGGTTACTATTTCATTAAAATTCATTTTCTACTTCTGAATGAAATTTAATGGTCGAAAATGAAATTATAGGTCTTTATTACAGTATAACTTTACTAAATTATTAACTGCAGATTTAAGAAGTACTGTACATTAATTATACAATAAATATATACAGGCTTAGGTTTCTAATATTTTATTTAACTATACTTCAGGTTTATTTTGTTTACTCAAATAGAAATTTTCTTAAATTATTTAAACAAATCTTTTAGATATAATTTCATAAAAAAATAATTGTTTTTCTTCAGATAATATTTTAAGGAATAAACGATAATTTATTACAAATTGAAGATTTATTATCAGTTATTATAATATTAAAATATTGTCATATAATTTGTAGTAATATATAAAAAAGTCCTTCGTTATACAAATAAATATCCTTCTAATTCTTAAAAGGATAATATATATAATTCTGTCAAATATATATCTTATTTTTTTTACTTCAGATATAAAGATGATATAGAAAATTAGAGTTATTCAGAGGTATAATTTCAAATAGTTAAGATAGGTCATAAGCAAAGGTACAGTATATTGATGTAATGAGGTCACATTACGATTCTTCTTGACCTTGCTTGAAGTTTTATTAGTTGATTGATCTCAGACTCTCATTATATAAATAAAAATAATCATAGTCAAATGGAAATTGCTGATACATCTATTCTTTATCTACGTTTTATTCTTTGTTTGAAAATACCTTGACCTTGTTTTTCTCATCATCCAATGAATAACACCGAAATTGAATATAAAAAGTATTAGATTTGTATTGTATAATCCGAGACGAAGATAAACATTTCAATTTTTAATTAGTAAAAATAGTATAGAAAATTTCGATGTAAAATACTTTAAAATTTGACTTCTTCATTATAACTTAATATTATTTCATTACATTTTTCAATAAAGAATAATTAAAATGCCAGAAAATAAAACTTCTCTGATCCCTTTTTTAGATATTTAATTAAAATTATATACGAATATATATTAAGCCTAATAAGTAAAGGAAGAAAAATATTAATACAAAACAGACTTTTATAAATGGTCAATTTAAATTTCTTAACTATTGTTTGATTTAAAAATTAGCATAAAAACTTTAAAAATTACCTTTTTATTTACTTTATCATCAAACGCAAATTCGACTATTTATTATATTTAATAGAAAAAAATGGGAGCGATGAAGGTTAACAGGGATGTTAGTTTGAACTCGTTATGATTCCTATAGGATAAATTAAAACTTCTGAAAATACCAAGATAATTAGATTAATTTATGATAAATTATAATTAATATTCAATTATAATGATTAGGTAGAAGAATATAGCATAAATTTGACTTTTGTTAATAGAATATTAACAAAATTTTCAACTCTAAATTCTATTTACTTAATACTTTAAAATTTCTTTATTACATTTATTATTTATTTTAAATTTTACGTAGAAATTAATGGTCTTTAGGCTATTCAGTTTCTAAAAAGTGATTAATCAAGACCCCGAATGAATACTAAATTATTTTAATAAATAGTATCATAGAAATTTAATAACATTTTCACAAAAGAATAAGTTGTAAGATATTTATTATTACAAATAACAATTTATTTATATAGAAGAAATCGTTCATGGAGTGAAAAAGAATGCATGTTAAACAGGAACCGACAATTGCAGGGTGGGACAATCATTAACAGAAGGTGGCAAAATGATTACAATGGTGATAATTAGGTGTAGCACGGGTCTTTGTACAGACTTAACGAAGCATTTATGCAAAACTAGGTTCTTTATAAGGTTACTGCATTTGCCGATAGGAAGACAAAAAGTTTCGTAACACGCATTATCCCTTATGTAAAATAAAGTTAAAGGAGCTAAAATGTATAGATTAAACCAGTTATCACACTTTAGTTTTTCTTATTTAAAGAATATCAGATAATATTAAAATGACGCATATGTTATCAACTAACAACATAATAAAAATAATCTAAAATATTTCTAATGAATATAAACATCGATGAGGATTTATGCCTGATGTGCATTGTTTTTTTTTTAACTTTTTAAAGATAAAATTCGATTTTAAACTCTTCCATTATATTATTTAGGAACGATTAAGTTAAACTGATTATAATAAAAACCATAACAGCAATTAATTAATTAAGAATGCTTTCATTTTCTCCTCTTATCTTTCAGTGAAAGTTTTTATTTTTTAGTTTTATCAAGCATTATAAGAAATTATGTCTAACTATAATCGTGCACAGTATTTGACAGTAGGACGGAAGTCGTTGATAAGAGATCTCTCGAAAATATCACTCAAGCAGAACGGAATGTTTAGATACGTGACACGAAGAGTATGGGAACATTGTCTAATTGACGAAACAACAACATCCTTCACCGTATAATTTCTCTAATAATGTACTTTATTGGTGAGTATAAGTACGAATATCGTAACACTCATGGGATTTGCATAGGTGATATTATCTTCCTCATCCGCTTTATAGGATTTTCTGAAGTTTGCAATAGGAAAAAAAAAACGCTAGATTTAAATAATGTATTGCATTCGTTTCCTCAAATAGAAACTGATTATTGAGTAGAAAGTTAGTTAATTCTAGCAAAGTTATATTTGCATACGTTTGAGGAAAATAATATAAAATATTATATTTCAATGTCATAAATTTCTGAATTTCTATCTTCATCAAATTTAATGTCGAGTATCATATTTTTCAAGGCTATTTTTGCATGAAATTTTTCTAATGCCAAATCGGAATTTTGATGAGTCAGTCAGATATTTATAATCAGCTGTGTGTATTATGAAGCAAGTTATAATTGTAAAAAAGAAAAAAAAAATATGAAGAGGAAAGAAAGAAATGATAGATAATATCTTGATTGAAGCTTAAATTCACCTTGAAAATCTGATGTTATCATTTGATTTGTTAAAGAATAGATATCGAGTTGACTCATGTTCTTTAACGCGTTTTAACTAGACTGAAGGTTTATAAAATTGCATTTAGTCTAATTAAAATTCATAAATAATCTGAATAAAAAAAGAAAATTGCTCTTTAAGTTAAGAAACATTAATCCTATGCTTGATTTACTCATTACTTAAATTATAAAAACTGATCAATGGACTTCTTGACGAGTTTTTAGTGGCAATATAGTATAAAATATTCTTTTTCTTTTATTAAATTTATTTGAAATCAGTTTATGATTGAATAGGTTGCAGGTGGTTAGAACAGCCTCCAGGAATACAAGCAGAACAAGATTGAAATTAAAAATAAATGTAAAATATATAAAAATCTACATATCTAACAGATTATTCTATCCTCCAATTTTAGCTTCTTTTCAGTGTAACAGGTGTCATCGCTCTATCTTATTACCCCTTTCTGGCTTTTTATTTTTTATTTTTTTTAAATCGGAAATAATAGTGTATGAAATAAAAACGAGCTTAAATTTGTATATTCAACAACAAGATTATTATAATTCGAAAGATAATAAAATATTATTTCTGTATTATATAAAATCGTAAAACAGCAACCTATATTGCATGAATTAAAGGTCATAAATTAATATATATATAGGCCTATAGTTCTAAGTGTATAGTTTACGATTAAATTTTGGATCTAGGAAAAATTTTTAACCATTAGATAAAGTTGTCAAGAGACGATACTAATGTTAGACAATGATTATAAAGAAAAATAACGGTGTAAGTCACAGCAGGTCCTATAGCTCTATGTAATAACAATAGCAGAAACTATTATTATTCCTGAAAAGGCTCATCTCCACCTCCACGTAGTGCTTTCATCATTCACTCCACTCCTGGAACAATGGAGATTCTTCTCGACATGCCATTCAAAACGGCTATCAAACTATTGTTCGTTTTTTCAGAAAATAAAGTCATTCAAAATTTGGTAACCAGAATGTATTTAGTGTCATTTTCGGTCTACATTTAAACCGAACAATTCTATAGTTTTTATGATAGTGTTGAATGATATAATAGAAAGATATTAAAAGCGAAGACGTAAAGAATATTTGTAAATTGCAAAGAAAAGTGTTAAGAATCAAATTTTAAATAGAGATATTGTCTTTGTTATTTTAATACATTTTAAACAGAATTTACTTATTTGTATATTAATAACCGGGCCGTCGAGAGGGGGTGAGCAATATTTCCTCGGACGCGGAGAAAACTTTGAAACCTATTGTGGTTCATATCCCTAGAAATGAATGTTATTTTTACTAACAAAAATAAAATATTTTAAAACTGATTTTTATTATAAAGTTTCATTTGTTCTAAAAAAAAAATTCATTAATTAAAAATATGGCAAAAGGGGACCATTTCCTGATTACATAAAGCTTTTACAGATGAATAAAGTAGAATTCCAAAAGTTATAATAATAAATTTCTTTCTCTTGGCGATAAAATAAATTTATCTTTCATTAATTTAATTATACTGTTTGAATTTGTTAAAATGTACTTTAATCTGATATCAAAATGTTTTTGTGTTTAAAGACATCAAACAGATTAATTTAAAGCCTATAATTTAAGATTAAAATTTTAAAAAATTACATTAAATTGAATCTCATTAAAATATACTTAACATGACATATGTTTAGTTTTTATATTTTTTATTTCTTTTAGATAAAAATTTAAACTTAAGTAAAAACGTAACTTTAAATCTATAAATTTCAATTTAATCTTCTTAAATTCTTCGACTATTTTTTTCCAAGTCTGATTTATTTATTACTATTAATAGTCCGAACTTGTTTAATTTTTTTTCGCAGTTTTCTTAGAATCATTAGAATTACGATTATTCGAGAATGTCAACTTTCTTTATTCTTAAAATAAAGTAAAAAAATGGATAAATGAAAAGATCAGTTTTACTTTTGATCAGCGTTAATTTCAGTGTTCCGGAACAATGAAAGAATTTATTTGTGTTTTAGAAATTGTAAGAATAATTTCAAGTAATTCTCACAATTAATATTATTATTAATCTTAGATACTATAATAATTTCTATTAAATATTATTTATTAATATTATATAAATACTAGTGATTTTCATATTAAATATTCTATGATCTTAAAAAGAATATAATTAGAAGAATTTTAATTTTGAATAATTAAGTAGTTAACGTCTTGTATTTTCTTGATATATTCTGAAGAAATGATCAAAGATTAAGATAAGTATGTTAATATTAGCAATAGTTTAGAATAATAGACAATAAATCACAATTACTTTTTATTATTATTTATTGGAAATTGGAATTTTATGATCAAAGTTTAAAAACATCCATTAATAATCCATCTTCTTGGAATTAAGTTAATTCGTTAGTATAGGGTTGTTGTAGGCATCGTAAAATTAATGCTAAGTGAAAGAGCTATTGAGATTCCTAGCATGTTTATGGGTGAAAGTTGGATTTTTTATAACGCAATGCAGGTTTTGGTAATACTTATTTGCGCTTTTTATGTAGACTATTGATGGAATAACAATTTTAAATGGAATTCCAACTAAAGGTTCAAGGCGTTTTTATAATAAAATATATAGCTTTGGAAGTGTCTTCATTAATTATAAATTATCCGTAAACAGTGACATGACTGTTTAATATTAATGAAGATTGATGGTTTTTTCGCGTACGAAAAATTCGAATCTATTGAATATACCATGAACAATGAATAGACAGATCCACACGAAATGTCAGAGGGATAAAAAAGACATTTTGGGATTTAAAAAAAACAACAAAAAACATAACTACTGTACATTATAAAAAGCGATAGAATGAAATAGTTCTGTTAAGATTACGATATTTTTAAATAATTAATTATAGTTTACGTACGAATATATCATATATCAAGGTTTTGAAAAATGAATATTGATAGAATCTAATGTTACAAATAGGCTTTAAGATTTATTGTGTTATCCGATATTTCAACGAACAATTTAGAACGATCCCTCTCGCTAAAAGTTGCCTTTCAGACAACTTGACCTCGCAAATCATTAGTCATTAACCATCAGATAAGATGCCAAATTTCTCCAATGAAACAAGGTCAGTGCCTAGTGATATCAGAGGTCATTGATACCAATGTCGTGTCTTCTATTCCAAATAACTTAAAGAAACAATAGAAATTATTTACGCTATATCGTGTCGATTCCGAGAGAATATCTCGAGTTATGCTTCGATTGAAGTATTTTTGGAGACCAATACAATATAAATACCGTGAAGCATCTTTAAGGATTTTAGAATCGCTTGCACAACATGTAGAGATTTAATTGTCCATAAAAAAAATTCCAAAGTCTCTTACTCGAAGGAAATTACCATCCTAAATTAAAGAGTAAAACTTTGTCGTATACAAAACGAAAGTAAAAAAAAAAGTTTTCGTTAAAAGTAAACAAACCACTTCGATGTAGGCAAATAGCTCACGACTTTCTTCGAGTCTACACTAAAGAGATTTAGACAATGGATGAAGAATATACCCTTAGGCAAGCCGGATACAAACAGATTAACTTTTGACAAAGAAACGCTGCAGATCTAATGGAACAATTTGCTGAGGCACACACATTTTTTTTCCTTCAAATTTATGCTATCTCACGTTAAAAAACGAAGACCGAATCAACAGTTAGGTTCGCTCGTCAACATAACTGACACAGATTTATAGTACCTGTCTTCCTTATATCGAGATAGACTGAGAATAGCTCCGTGGTAGGTTACTACCTCACAAAAGAGATGGGGAAAAGGCGACCCTTGTCCTTACTTCCGGAGGTTCTTACCGGATGTTCCAACATCAAGTTACTTCCGGTTGCAAGTGTTTAACTCACACAACGGTGTGACCTGGATTGTTTAGTTCGTCCCACGGACTTCAAAGTTACCGCATATATTCCCACTGAATACCCCTCGCCATCTTTGAGATGGGTCACTTGACACTTAGGGAATAAAATCACGACCATGGGAAGAAGACTTAAAAAAGAAAGGGATTGCAGTATTGGCTACAGTTTTTTTTAACTTCATCTATCTAAAATATATCCTGTACTATTTCAAAGTAGCTAGTTATACATCTGATATATCACAAAACTATTATAACTGGAATTATACATCTATTATTTAAACCAGAGAAAAGTTTAAAACTTGTTTGATAAATATAGACTTCGTCTTACAAATATATTTCTAACGTATAAGATTTCAGGTTTTTTTTTTTATTTATTTATTTATTAACTATGGTCATCGAGATATAGAAAGGAAGTGGGCTTCAGTTGCTGTAAGTCTTTCCGTTTCGTTTATCCTTTGTTAGATACACCCTTTAGGCAATACCGTGATCAACTGAATGTGAAAAGCGACTCAGAAAGAACAGGAAGTTTCATTTGAAAACTCTTATTGGGTTATCACTTTTAGAAAATGTTGAGAACTTCCCTATTCCCTGTTTAACAATCGCTTGATGAAAGATGACAAATAATTAAGTAATTTTAAGAATTTAAATTAAACTTACTGAATTTAGCAAGTTTATTTTATTTATTTTTAATTTTTTGCAGTTAAAGCTGTTTGTTATTTTCCACTCGAGCATCAAGGGACATTTTTGATTCAAACACAAGCTTCGGGAGCATACGGAGGCAACATTGTCACCTATTCTGAGATAACAGTAGAAGCAGATGCCATACCGCCTTGGGGAGGATGTCATCGAAGAAGAGGGAACAATATTATTTTGAAAGACAGGTATTGACAAAACCCAGAAAAATTTAGTTTAACAAGTTTTGTAAACATTTATTTTTTCAAAAATATAGCTAATATATATTTCATTTATTAATAGCACGGGAGGTGAAGATTGCATGAGGTGCTTTCATATAACAATGAACACTCCAAATGTATTACTTATTCATACGGAAGGTAACGGAACGTGATTTAAAATCTAAACATCTTATAGGATATTATTTTTATAAAGATTTTAATTAATTAATTTGCATTAAATTCTCTTTTATAAACAGGACTTGCGAAGTGTTATACAAAAGAAGAAGCAGCCAGAGCAACTTGTCCCAATGATCGAGATGTTATCGAAAGAAGATTTAAAGAAATTCTTTTGTTCCGTAAGTAAAGGAAGGAAGGTTATCTTATCCAAGGAAATACAAAAACTCTATTCTCGAATGCGCTAATTTCATTACAGATCTCCTCTATGATTTTTAGACCGCGTAATTCTTTGTCTTAGCGATACTTGTTAAAGGTAACTTGACACGCAAGTACAATACAAACATTAAAAAGATAAGATTTATTATAATGACATATTATACGACCTTCCTAGTTTTTCTTTAATTTTTGACCATCTTGTGTTATTGAAAGCGTTCATCAACCTTTTTTTTTACACGTTTTTATTTACCACAGGATAACACTGCTTGTCTATTGTTAAGAGACAGTTTAAACCACTACCCGGATTTGAGGATGAGTTTAAAATAAATTTAAATCAGATTCAATATCCTTATTCATGCTATTTTTCTAAATTTTATAGAAATATTTTATAGATTTAATAAATATTTTCTAGTATTTTTTCAAATCTCACATACATTAAAAGAAATATAATCTTATAATATTAATAAATTTTCATAATGAGTTAGAGTGCATTTTTATAGATAAGAATTCGTTTTCTAAAGAAATAAACAAATAAATAAAATAATAATAAGGAAAAAAAATTTGAAATAGAAAATAACAACTTCAAAAATTGTAATTTTGATTATACAATAGTATTATTATTATTTTTAAATATATCATTAAGTAACAATGAAGGTTATTATTATTAACCTATTTATAACAAGCTATAATAAATTATTAAAATTCTATACTTAACAATCTGACAGTTATTAATCTAAGTTAAAAAAATATATATAAATTTTTCTAAATTTTGTAATTATATTCTATTTTTAAGTATATAAAATTGAAAAAATTATGTAAAACTCAGATTAAAATATATTATTCGTAATCATAAATGATTTGATAAAGTGTTTATCAAATACAAAAAAAGTTTTTTTTTTTAGAATAATACAGAAAAATGCGACTATTTATAGAAATTCATATAATTGACTATTGTTTGGTGGTTCCTTAAAAATGATTAAGCTTCTCGTCATGCGTGGTTAGAATATTCATTTTTTTATTATTTTAAGCGCAATATAATAATGGAATGGCTTTCTCTATAATCACATTAAAAAGCTATATATACATATTTATATTGAACTATACACAAAAATAATTTTTTGTCATTTATACACATGTCTATATATAAAAAGCAATTAAGTGTTAACGTTTAATCTCAATAAGAAATTATAACAATACAAATCAATATTTATCTGCATAAGAAAACTCAAAAGACGAAATTTGAACTTAAAAACTTTATAAAATATATATAAAAAAAAACACGTAAGATATATAGAATAAACTCTTTAAGCGCCTAAGACAAGTCAAAATCTTCGCAACAATGCTTCACCACTGAAATTGTAGACAGTGTTTTAGATTTATTTTGTTTACTTAATCATCTATAAAGTATAAAGTATGTTTTCTATAAATCTTTTGAAATATTTCTTTATGTGAGGAGCGTGTAGGTTTATTTTTATCCTCCCTGGGCGGAGAATGCAATTACTAACTTTACACCCACTTAGTGTATGATGTCATGTCGGTAAGATGAAAGTTATGCCCAGTTTTATATAGCCTCAACTGGGGTCAGGTAGCCGTGAGAAAAAATACTCCTCCCTAAACCTCCTAACTCGGTCCCGCATTCCTTAGACAGATGATGTGAGAAAAAAAACATTTGCAGTTAGTCTAGGTTTACCAAATGGAATGCATTCGATATATATGGAAGTTTTATAGCATAAAATTTAAAAAAATGAACGTATTTAATTTGATCTTTTCAGGTAAACAACAAATAGGATCCGTTTCTACTGTGGAAAATTTATTTTGCCCTATAAATGGCCGATATAGATTTACTTACACGGCAAATAAAGGAGGATTCCGATGCGATCAACCTTTATCGGAACTTGGTAATTGCCCTAATGGCAACGAACTTGGTGTCAGATTTCGACAATGTTCTTTTCCCGAAATGGGTAAGATCATCTCTTAAATTCTAACTACTTAAACGAAATCATTAATAAATATTTTGTTTCAAGTATAAACGTCAGCGCATTTTAAAACAATAAAACCATATGCTAATTAATCTCTCGAATATTTTCAAATACAATAGCCTGTAATTTAATTACAATTATATATAATTATTAATCTAAATATAACATAAATGTAGTAATAAATCGTATAATTATCTATGATTTAAGCAAATAATTTTCATAAAAGATTCTTCTACTTTAAAACATAAAATTATCATCTCGTAGACTTAATGATACAGTATATTAAATCTATTTTTGAATATTCATTTTATTTTTTATCTTATTTAAAATGAATTAGTGTATCAAATAATTTATAAGTAAGAATATTAATATAAATTGTAATATTTATAAACAGATGTGAGTTTTTTGTGTTTGGGTGATTGGGCTGGACCCATGGGCGATCGTTATTTGGCTTTGATGGATCTACGTGAAAATCCCGATGCTAGACCAAAATATCGATGCGGGGTATGTTTATTTTATTGTTTAATAATTTAAAATGTTTTACAAAGAATGTAATGTTCGAAATTTTTGTATAAGTAATAAATAATGCGAAATATTTTCATTAAAATTTATTATATAAATTTACTTCGAAGTTATTTATATTAGAAATATTTACAAAAATCTTTATCAGTATTTTTATTAAAACTAACTTATTTATTTTAATATTTATATATATAACAGCCGTTTTACATATACATGTAATCATTTAAGATTATAATGTGAATCAATAGAAAAAAATAACTGAGTATAGGCCATTATTGAAAATTAATGGCATCATTATAATATGAAATAATTTAAATTATTTTAATTTCTTATTTGAAATTAAAAACGTAAATAAATAGACTAATATTTAATCAAGGATTTAAATGTGTTAATTTTTTTAAAACATATCTGATTTAAATCCTTGATCTTCTTCTATTCATATTAATTTAATTAAGAATTTTGGAATTAAATAATTTGTATTTAATTAATTATTTATAATGATTTTTTTATATATTATTTATGATTGAAGAGATTCGGTTTTCAATTATAACATAGTTTCATAATTTCAAAAATTAAATAAGATAACAAGACAATTAAAAACACGTAATGACAATTCTTAGATTCATAAATTTCATTTACTTATACAGCATCTCGATGCAGTGATTTATTGAATATTATTTATTATGTTTATCAGATATATTATTATAGTTTAAAATGAATAACATATTTACAGCTTTATAGACAAGACAAAACTACAGGAAGAGTATATGTATCTTTTTCGGCGGATTCAACATGCACCAATCAGTTAGCAAGCGCAACAGACGGATACGAATCTCTTATTTTAACGCCTCGTAAGTAAAGTATCATTTATTTATACTTATAACTTAAAAATACTAAAGTAAAAATATACTTATTTCCTCAATTTTTATTAAAGTACCGAATCGAAGCTTGCCTACTCAGGTAGAAACATCACGTTGTAAATTTCCAGAATGGATTCAAGGACAATGGGAACATATTAAAGTTGAAGGGAAAATATTCACATTTCGTGACTCCGTTCATTTTCAGACAGTGTCAGCTCGGTGTATTAGACGTCAAAATAACACGCCAAACGAAAGATACGTTGTATACACTGTAACTCAATGGTAAGTTATCGAAAAAAATATAGAAAAAAAAATCTGCTAGGGAGAGAGGGAGGGAAAGGAGAAAACCGATTGTCTTTAGCATAAGGTTGTTTTAAAGGTTTTTTTTTTTAGTGAATAGATTTGTGTTATGACAACATCCTGTACTTATCAGGTCAATACTGTTTCAGTGGAGACGAATCCTATAATTGTTTGTGGCTGAAGAGACGTGGTGTTAACGTTTTAGAGTTCCAGTTTGGTGAGTACCTATAATTTAATATCAGTCATTACGTCTAAAATGCTTAAATAAATTAATAGTTATTCTTTAGATGTTATATTTATTTTCAAGGAAGTTTCAACTTAGATTCATAAAAAAAAAAGTGAAAATATAATATCAAAATTTCGTTGAAAAAACTTGAATATAACTGACGTGAATCTGAATTCCTTATTCAATTTTGAAAAAAAAAATTAAATAATGATTCAATTTTATAGCTTACATCTGATCATTAAACTAATTTTTATGCCAATTTTATTCTACTCTTGTATGCCTCTTGTAATTATAACGTATTGGATACAATTACTGTGCATTGATATAGAAAATTATAGTAGTAAGATAATAACAATAAAACTAGTTAATGTAATTAAACTTAAATGAACAATTATAACTGAATAGATTTTATGTTCAAAAATAAAAGTGTCAATGATTTATTAAATAATTTTAAGGACAAGATTACAATAGATAAAAATAAATTATTCATTGTTCTAATTCAGCATTGCAATCTTTGTATTTTAAACAACGTAGGAAACTACATAAATTATATAATTTTTAATAATTATATTAAATAAGTAACTGTTTTTAATTATTAAATTATAAAAATTGCGAAGTTGAAGATTTTCGTATTTAAATTATGTTTTAAATATCTAAATTTTTATCTAAATAATATGATTTATAGATATTAAAACATTAATTTTAGTTATTGCCTTAATAAAATATTAAAAATTATAATTAAAAATTTAGATTAGAGATGGCACCTAATTTCTACCTCTAGTACCAAATTACTTAATATCTAATNAAGTGCTTTTATGACACGAAAATAGATTAAGGATTAGTAGCACCGTATTTGTTTTAAAATAGTTAGACTATTTAAAATTAATTTTATTTAATCTATTTTTTAGGCTCTCAACCAAGCAAGCAATATTCGGATACTCTTTGTAGCGACAGACAATTCAGACAGGAAACATGGATTACGCAAGGAAGTAAGTTGCATAAATATATATTCCATTATTGTTTATTATATAGATCAGATTTTTAAATTATTATTATTTATATTATAGGAATAAACATGGCTCAAATATCACCTTGTCCTATAACTGGCGATTATACTGGAGTTGTTCCTGGTACTACTACATTATGTGCAAAAGTAGCATCCGATTGCAATAATCCTGATATTATGTTCTATACAGTCAGCAATTGCGAAGATAGATCACATATTTATGAAGGTACTATCAATTAAAATCTAATGTTTCGAATGTATTTATGCGTCTATAGGGCAAACACAATTAGGCTATTATTTATTGTTTTTATCACTTTCTTCTGTAATATATTTGTACGGTACTTCTGAAATAACAGAATATCAAAGTACAAGAAACTTTAATTAGTTATTAAAAGAAATCAAAACAATTTCTATGCATGCCTATTTTTCAACTTTAACTTATGTCGTATAAATAAATAACAAGTCAATTAGCAGAGGCTAAATCCATCTTTATTTTTAGAATGGATGCGGTATTTTCATCGAAAAAGTTCTGTTACCTTCGTCCACACTCGACGTGACATCAAATTAGAAAGTAGGTCCATTCAAAGTCACATATACATGCACAGCCACAAAAACCATTTCAAGTTTAGCACAGCACGGTTCACTGCACTTTCCACATTGCACATTTTATTAAAATAGGGGATAGAGACTATAACAATTCGTTTAGTTTTTCGAGCAGTATTTTTAAATTAAATCGTTTTAGACTATTAATGTTAATTTTAAAAAATTTTATTTAGAAAGAGAATATAAATGTCTTGGTAGCTGGGAAGAAAATGGAATATTATATACGTATACTCAAAGACGAGATATGCATGGATTTCAATGCTTTGTAAGTGTAAAATTAAATAGTTTATAAATAATAATTTTTTTAAAAGGTTTTCATTATTTACCATTTAATTTTTCATTAACACTTATAGTCGGGAAAAATTCTTCAAAATGGCGAAGAAGCATACATAAAAGAAGCTGGAGAAAGCTGTATAAGAGGCGAAGATCCTCTTATTTACGGAATGAAAATAATGAAACAAGGTATTTAGTCAACACAATTATTAATTAATTAATTAATGTTGTTAACAATTACAGAAATTTATCGTTATTGCTTTATTTCAGCATCCTGTCCTCAGTTACCTCCGGTAACTTTCGTTCCAGTCAATCCACCATGGATACCATCAACTCCATCTGTTGCCAGACCACCTTCACGAGATCCATATTGGTATCAAACAGAACCAGAAGAATCTACAACGAAACCATGGAAACCAATCACTCGTACGTAAAATTCAAAATATAAAAGAAATTTACAAAATTTAATTTCAATTATTAAATTAATTTTAAATTACAGGTCGTCCTCCACCAGAAACTACAGCTTCAGCTAACGTTTCCAGATACAGTTCGGTCATTTTTGCGATATCGGCGATATTTTTAGCGATGGCAGAACATCTACTACATTAAAAAAAAGTGCCTTAAAACTTTAAAATGTGAATTTTTAAAAATTTTACATTCGTATAATAATTCTCTAACGTTGGTAGAATCCCGTGGAGAGAATTAATCCATTCATCCAATGCAAAACTGAGCCGAAGAATGTTTTGCGGTAACAACACTCAAAGTCAAATGGACAATTCCAAAGATTCAGATTCTAATTAAAGAAACCAAAGTGCTTATTAGTTCCTACACAACAGTGTAGTTGCAACAGATACCGAGAGTAAGCCAATTTCCACCTAAATAGATGCAACTGTGATTTGATTTTAGTCCACCAAGTCATTTTTGTACCTATCATCACACACACACACACACACACACATATATATATATATATAAAGACTTTATACATATTTTACATGTACATCTAAATTCGATTGTATTTGTAAGATTCTTTAATATGTAAATTGTTCTTCAATTAGCAAAAACTAGATATTTTTGTTAAATAGTAGATTATAAATAATCAAAAACTGTAAATAGCTTCTACCTGAAAGAATGTTTTTAATTTTTTTTTAATTTTATTTTATTATTATTATTTTTTTGAAAGAATATGTCATCGAGTTTTTGAATGTGTGAAAAATTTGTATTATAGTTTCTATTTTCTATTTATATAATCTCGAATGAATGAATAAAATATTTGTATTATAATAATTTGAGTTTTGTTATATACTTATAGCAATATAAACAAATGTAAATTGAATTATAATTAATTATGAATTAATTATTAAAACTTTTTAATTAAAAATTTAATAGTGATATTAATAGAAAAATTAATTTAACATAAATTTTAATTAAAAATAAAATTTATTTGAATATAAATATGCATTTTGAATGATGAAAAGATTTATTAATTGGCCAAGATTTCTAAACCGTGGTTGTCCTTTGAAATACGTTCGCCGATCCGCCATATTTAGTCCAGTTGATACGATTAATATATTTATAATTTAGAGTGATCAGATATTCCGATTTGAGGTGACTGTCCCCAGTTTAGCATTTTTTAAAATACAGTGTTTGATTTAATAATAAATCTTTAAATAGAGCAATTTTATTAACACATCAATATAATAATATCAATTTATAGGTCAATAAATAAGTAGTAAATGAAGTTACATCAGATTTAGACACCATTTTCACTGATGTTGAAATGTGTCCTTGGATTGTAAATGATATTGTCCGTCTAATTATATTAATATATGTGCATTTTTCACTAAAAACAGTATGTGATATCGCCAATTTTATAAATAAAAGGAAGTTTGAACTAAGAACCGCAAGATGATAGCGTGAACAGGACTAAATATGAACGCACGTTATTATTGATAGAATGCGGTACTCACAAGTCGTATCGAAATCAAAACCTAAACGAGCGCCATCTGTGAAACAAAATATAAACTAAAATTGTGTTAAGGAGCTAATGAATATTTTATATTAATTATATTATGGNTGTACACAATATTGTATTTATTTACTTCCTACTGATCATTTGGATCTGCCACAGCAAATAGGCATATACAAAAACCATCACTTCAGGTAAAAAAAAATACAACAAAGACGGTTGTTTAAAGCTGGGGTCACATTTACAGAAAGACCCGACCCTCTACTCAAATGGAAATTCACGGAAGAAATCATAGCTTCTTTAACGAAAGTCCAACGGTCATCGCATAATGGAACCCAGGATACCTGATGTGATTTTTAAAATTTATTTATAGTAGAAAAATTAAGATCTGGAGTTACCAGTAAATTCCAAAGATTTAATCCCAATAATAGAAATAAAATAGTTTCTGATTTCGTTTTTGTGATTCCAATTTAATAATTAATTACACAACTGAGAATGTAATCAGAAACTCCTAATTTTATGCTTAGTTTACACAGAGAGCAAGTTGTTAGTTATAAGTGTAATGAATATTGCAGAGGTGGCCAAACTTTGTTATCGTAGGAGCCATATAACACGTATCAGAAATGCGTGAGACTCGTATTCTATATTGGAACGGTATTTTATACCTAACCTTTATATATAACTTAATGTATATAGAGTAATAGCACTAAAGTGTCGGACCCTACCCCTAAATAATAAGGAGTCCGATTTACGAGAGTCGTAGTAAGGGTCTAGAAGAGACACAATTTGGCTACTGTGGGAATATTTCGTCGACAGTAATATCCTTTGAGGCGAATTTTTCTGTTTTGTGAATTACGATTGCGTTTTAAGATGAACTTTTTTGCTTAGAAAAAACATTTATCACTAATCAGACGTACACTTCGTTTCTATTCGAAGTGAACCCTAAAAAGACTTGAAAAACAGTCAATAGAAGTGAGACTCACCCCATTCAACCATTCGGAAAGACAATCTATTTTATTTACGAAAAATTGTGGGAATCCAAATCATATTCCAATTATCTGTCGATAGGCTGAACAAATTATCCGGACAGACAGTCCATGAAAAATTTCTGGGGTTTCTGATTATCTCGATCCAGAACGAAACGGGTTGTCCCAAAACGGCAACTAACGCCTGTACCGTCCTTTTGAATTTTTGTGGGAACATCACCCAATACTGAAACATAAAGATTATGTTATGGAACCGAGTGTTGACCCAATCCTGGTTTATTGAAATGTTTATTGAAATGAAGTAGCAAGAACAAAATTTCTTCTTTAATAGTATAGCAGAAGACTACTTTTTGCCAACGTTTCCTTAAAAAAAAAAAGTCATGATTTCCTCCTCGTTTTCTTGGAACAAACTAAACAAACAAATAAATAAAATAAAATTTATTGGTTTTTATATTAATTAAAGAATTATTGCGGAAATTTACTACAGCAGCCTAACCAATTTGAAATCCGATCAGAGAGAGACTGAGGCTGAATTCAATAGGTCTCGTGTTGAGTCGATCAGAAATCGAGAAACAGGTCCGACCCTCTACTCAAATGGAAATTCACGGAAGAAATCATAGCTTCTTTAACGAAAGTCCAACGGTCATCGCATAATGGAACCCAGGATTTCACGACAGTGGTCTTCTCATTTGCAGATGAAATCATAAAGACCAACAGCATTCGTGAAAAGCCAAAACAGACGATACTGTAAATTCGATACGGAGTCCCCACAGTAAAAATCAGAAATTAAGCCGCCGCGGATATCCTCTGGACTAGCTGTCGATTACGGTGTACTTTCAAAATCTTCACCTTTCCCTGCGTTACATGTCAATAAAAAGCATTGGTTGATTCCAATACACCAAGAAATAAAACGAAATAAAAAATCGATATTACTTATGTTTTAAACTTAAAATATAGAAATATTAGCCACTTATAGTATTGAAAACAAATTTTAATTTAGCGCTCCCTAATGATCTAACGCGAGCGCTCAAGCCGTCGCTGCGCTTCAATCAGGGACGGTCAGTTCTACTTCTTTTTAAATATTGATACATATCAATTTCGTACTTGATTGATTTTTAATCATTCTAAACTAAGAATCAATTTTTTGACAATATGAAGTTATTACTTTAAAAACATTTTGCAGAACCATTGAAAATTATCGATTATCCGAATTGATTTGCAGGTGATTCCGATAATTGAAGATTCTGATAAGTGGATTAATATGTGAAATTTCATAGTAGCAGCACAGTATTGTACACAATATTGTATTTATTTACTTCCTACTGATCATTTGAATCTGCCACAGCAAATAGGCATATACAAAAACCATCACTTCAGGTAAAAAAAAAATACAACAAAGACGGTTGTTTAAAGCTGGGGTCACATTTACAGAAAGACATCACTGAAAACGTTAACTGAAAGCCAAATCCAGAAAAATTTTACATCCCACACGCGTAAAATTCTGGAAAATCAAGTCGAGAGGTGCTCAGTAGAAATTTTTTCAGGTCATGTAAAATGTAGATGTTGACCAACCAGATCCCTGGGAGTGATGACGTGTTTACAATGTCACTGACGCTGCTGTGTTGACTGAGGCTAAAAAGGAGAAACCGCGTATCTTGCTTCTCTAACTGCACTTCGTTCGCTTTTCTTATTGCCTTTCTACTAGAACAGTCATCTACACTTTCTAGGGTAGCAGTATTGTGTTTCCATTTTTCTTTTAATGTCCGAAACATTTGCTGCTCCCACACCATATTTTTCAGCAACATGTTTCTCAGATTCTCCTTTTTCAACGCATTGACAGTCTCAACTTTTTCTGCCATAGTATGAACAACATTTTTCTTTTCTGCAAGTGTACAGACATGACTGGTGTCGCATTCACAGAGAACGTAAGCTCACCAGTGGCCAAGCGGTCTTTGTACCCTGAACACTGGTGAGTTCAGTTGTGGGTACTAGTTATTAGCATTTACAATTTTTTATAAATTCATCCCAACCCTCAAAATTAAGTTTTTTGTCATTTTATAATAATCAAAAATATAAAAAAAATTTAAAAAGTATCTTCAGTCATATTTCTAATACTAAACTGAAAAATTCATAGATATGAAATTGTGCAACCGATTCAGGAATTTGGATTAATAAAATACAAAAACGGAACGTATGCAGGAAGTTTAGGACAATTGGTTAACAAGGTACTTTAGTCATTTCATGTTTACAAGCATTTAAAATAAGACGTAAATGTTCTCTATTATTTTATAAAATTTGATATTAACTTTGAAGTTATTTATAAAGTTTTTATAATTATGTATAATCGTTTTCAATCATTTTTTTATTAATTAACAACTCGTGCTTCTTAAGTACTTCATAATAGAAAATTATTCAATATTTAGGAAATTTATAAAACGTATCAGACAAATTTTGAATTGTTCGATATAACTTATAAAAAACTTATTTTTATTACGAAATACAATTTATGTAATATTAATTGAGAACCCGCTTTTAAATTTCTTTTCATTTTAAAAATAATAATCGTCTTATTAATTGTTTAAAACTATTTTTATGTAGCAAGCAGACTTTTCATTTTATCCCTCAAGTGTGACGTATGAACGCTTTTCTTTAATGGAATTCACATCTTACGTCAAGGTATATCACGTACGATTTATTGCGACACAAAGAACTTTGAAAACGAATTGGAAAACAATTTTGAAACCTTTTTCTCTCGAGGTAAATTATCACAGTTAAGTATTCAAATTTCTGTAATTTTTTTGGATTTTTATCAATCTGTACATTTCGGACCTCATATGTTATATATAAGTATCTAATTGAATGGGCCTTTAAAATTTGATTAAAATCTATTTAAAAAATATCAGATTTCTCTAAATTTAAAACTAAACATCATTCAATATTGTTTAATTACCTCTATATTGTTGATATNAAAATTTAAAATAAAATATCATAACAGATGGCGCCACAATTAATAAATCTAACAAAAAATCACTTATAAATCTAATCACAACGAAATAAATCTAACAAGTAAGCCTTAGTCTTGGGCAGTTGAACCACATGAAAAACGCCGCCAAAACGTCTAAAGAACACGCTTCTTTAGATGTTTTGGCGGACTTAAGGCAATATTCCAGTCACGAGGCCCGGTTAGAAAGGCAACGTTGTGCAAACAGTTACTACGAATGGAATAAGGGCAGAATATGACGATTACGCAGTACGTAAACGAGTTCACGAGTAACGCTGATCAATTGAAGAAAGCGGAATAGAAATCCCAGAAGAATTACTATCGATTA